CCTCCCCGGTCAACTTTCTCGCAATTGAAGATCTCAAGCGAAGCACCTTAGCGGTGATCTCTTCAAATAAGAGACCGAACCCTCTAGAACCATCATAATCTGCCGCTCCGCATCTATCTCCCAGGCCACCACCTCGGCCTCGAGGCTTTTTTCCGTCACAGTCTCCGCTCTTTCTTCAGCCACCCCACTGCTCCAGCAAAACACTCGGTCAACCACACAGCTCCAACCCAAAACCATGGACGAAGAAATAGAAATATTATATACATGTGGAACACTCAATTCTTATCTTTATAATTTTTCATACATGCCACCCAATTCTTATATATATTTTCTATTTCAATGAATTATTGTAATTACAAATGAAATGTTATCATTAAAGGTGATCATAAAAGTCAATTAAATGGACCTTCAAATTCTAATTGTTGTAACCACAGTCGAAGAGTGGCGTTCGCTCATTCAATAAGACTGTCCCCTTTATTTTCCATTAGGTTTATAGCAAGTGACCATCAGGTGATCATCCACTTTGTGGAAAATATATTGCAAAAACCTCTTATTCTCCTCACTCCTCTCCTCTTTTCGTGTTTACAATTGTGGGGCACATTACAATTAAAAATTGCATTATGGAGTGACGAGTTCATTATTTTTCGCTTATGACCAACCACCACTAATTTGTGGCATCCATTAGGATATTATGTTACTCTTCATTTAAAATTTTATCATAAAGTGTATGTATAACTTTTTTACATTTAAGATTGTCAATATCTTTGTAGCATCCTTTGGAGAGAATCACTATTTCAACAAACGGTCATCCCACCAGTTGCCCTGACGCCTCCACCTACAGTCAACCTTTTCCAAATAGGAAAGATTTACATAAAACTCAATTCTTACATATTTTCAAATACCACTCAATTTCTACACACTTATATACTTATCTGCAAACATCTCAAATCATTTGTTTCCAGCACTCGGGGAACTCAAACCCGGGTAAAAAAACCGATAACGACGCCAAAAGCATCGGACTGGTCAGAAGTATGAGAAATAACAGACAATGCTAAGAGCGTCTGATCGGTCAAAAGCATAAAAAACACCGAAAACGATGCCAAGAGCATTTGATTTGTAATAGAGACCTATGGAACGTATTGATACCGGACAGCAACAAGCTCTGCAAGGGATGCATAAACGATCGTCTTGCGCCCAACTTATAAAGTTAGCAACTAGCAACCAAAAGCTCCATGAGGGGTGTCCAATGATCGCTAAAGGCCAATAAGACGTATCGACACCCGACAGTGACAAGCTCTGCTAGGGTACATAAACGATCGTCTTGTGCTCACATTATAAAGTTAACACCCGACAACGATAAACTCAGCAAGGGGTGCGTAAACGATTGTTCTGTGCCCAAATCATAAAATTAATGCCCGACGGTGACAAGCTCCATGAAGAGTGCACAACTCAAAGACTGCCCTCCAGGGGGAGCACCTACAAGGCTCTCCTCTGGAGCGAGCACCTATAAAACTCCCCAACGAGGCGAGCAACGCTTAGACTTTTCCCCCGAAGGCCAACTCATCCTCTAACGACTTATTTTCCCTCCAACTGGCCATCGTAACACGATAATTTCTTTCGACAGTAAAAATGTCAAGATGACAGACTCATCAGATGATGACAAAGATTCCAAAAATCAAAGCGAGTGCCTAACGGGGAGTATAGATATTTAACGTGTATACTCCAAAATGATGTGCAGGGATTTCAAAGCAATAGAATAGTTGACCACCTTGTTTCAGTCGGCCGACCAAGCTCTCTCCCTTGGCCACCCCACTTAAGTCGATCAACCAAATTCTCTCCCTCGGTCACCCACTTCAGTCGGCCAACAAACATGGACAATAAAATCTACATCAATCTCGAGACGATCCAACAGTCAAAATAAAAAAGACTAAAATGTCCTTTACTTTTCTCTTCAAAAGTATAGTCAAATATTTAATTTTTAAACTTTCAGCCTCTCCTATCTTCTATAAATAGGAGAGCTTTATGATGTAAAAGGGGGGAGAGGGAGGGGGGAAGACCTTTTTGGGGGAACCCCTCATCTGTAACCTCTAATTTTATGGAATAAAATGGGTCCACATGCCCATAAGCACCCCACTCCCCCGACCGGGAGAAGTCCCCCTCTTCTCTCTCATTTCTCCCCCTCTCGATCACCTCTCTTCGGTTCAATGCTCCTTTTCTTGGGCACGATCTACCAGACAGATTTGGATTCAACAGTATAATAAGATATATTTCACTTTTTAAAAGTAAAAAATGGTGGTACTTTATATGATATGAAAATTTTGAGTGGTATAAATGTAAAAAAGTTTAGGTGTTATATATGTATGTATGTAAATCTATGTCTATATATGGAATTGGATGGTATGTATATTAATGCCCCAAAAAATAAACTAAAGTTTTGCCTCATTAATCTCCAACAGCTCAGCATATAATCATTAACTAATTTAGACCATACCGCAGGGAATCCCAACTCATAAAGCCCAAATCCAGCAAGTGCTACCAGAGGAACTGCAGACAGTGGACTTAAAAATCTGAAGAAAGAACAATTCAAAGCAACAGAATGGATTAGCATATTATTACATTAATTGGGCCAAAAAAACAAAATATAAAAGCCAACCTCGTTACATTGCGCCAAAGACCACTAAAACCAATAATAATTTGAATTGTTGATGCAACAATTAGAGCACCTTGAGTTCCTCTCATAATTCGAAGGAATTTCTGTTCAAAAAAGAAAGCCATTCATCAGATTTCAATGGATATAATGCAAAAACAACAAGGTAGAAAAGCCTTTGTAGCAGTAGCAACCCTATGAGGTTCTACAATGTCGCTATATCGACCAGCGAGAATGATGGAGATGGTTGGTGCAACAAAAGTGTAAGACCCTCCGATCACCGCAGGCAAGCGAGTGCCAAAGAAAGACTGCAACAGAGTGTTTATGCCGGCCACAAAGAGCAAAGTCTGAACTACCCTGGCTTTCTCATCCTAGAAAGGTAAAACAAAAGTATAGAAACCAAAGAATTAATCAATTGTCAGAAAAAAGTGAAATTCACATACATATCAAAGTAAATTAAACTTTTTATTTTCTTCAAAGTGCTCAAACTTACATTTCCCCCTCCCATCTGAGGAACGAGTGCAGTAGGGATGATCACAGTAGTGCCCAGCATAACCAGATAATGTTGGAAACCAAGTAGAATGGCCTCCGCTGCGTTCCCCCAAAAAAAAAAGTCAATCTTTTCAAGTTTAATCAAAGAAAATATTCCTAATGCACTATCCACCAACACTAAAATCTAAAAGGTTATAACCAAACTTCTAAGCAACGGTATCAGTTCTGGATCTGATAGAGGTAAAAAAAACCCCCCTTTTTCTAACAAAAATCTTGATAAACATCAACTCTCCATATAAAGTCGGAAAGATTGAGAAACAAGGCAGATACATAAAAGAGAAAAAAAAAACTGATAAACTAAATTGTAAACCCTAGAGCAAGATAAACTCCCATCAAATCTGGCTTACGTTCTGTTTTAGAACCAAAATATTGAAACAAATGGCGAAAACAAAAATAAAAAGAGTAAAATTGGCAAGTAAAGAAGGAAGATAGCAGCAAGATGCGCAGTTCCTAAAACTCACGCCATGGAGGTGGGCTGGTGATGCAGTACGACACATTCGGCAACTGATCCTTTACTGGATGCGGCACCAACTCGTCGGCCTTCGGCGCCGGCGCTGCTCCTCCTCCTCCTCCTCCCCCCCCTCCTCCTCCTCCGGCCATTACCTTCCACTCTCACTATTCTTCTACCCTAAGGACTGTAACTCCGCACCCTCTCTACTCAAACAACTGAAACCAACCCCCAATAACCGAACCCCGCTACAACAACAAGAAACAGACAAAGTAAAAAACAACGGAACCCAAAATCACGCCTCAAAAACCAAAATAAATGACCGCAAAACAATGAGGAAGCGACCAAAGATTCAATCTTTCATGACCCGAAGCAACAAAACAACGAAACCGAGATCAGAAATCAAAGCAAAAGGCCGCCCACTTGCAAAACTGCAGCAACATACAGAGGCCGCCGCTAAAGGCCGGCAGCTGTGACAACAAAGATTACACTTCCCCCTCCCCTGCCCTCTCTAAACCCACCCCCCTGTTTCACTCTCTCTCTCTTCTGCTCAAAGGAATCTTCTTCGGCACTTATTTTATCTCTCCTCAAAAGCCACTAAAGCAACAAAGCTATATGAAATCCTTTGCTTAGCTCTCACCCTCCTCACTCTCACTCTCTCTCTCTCTCTCTCTCTCTCTCTCTCTCTCACGACAATGCGGTACAGATACTCCTTTAATGAAATATTAATTGTTATTTGCAGTGGTAATTTGGAGGAATGGGAGGTTACAGTTGCAAAATAAGAAAAGATACGGGAATGGAGATAAAAGAAGCCCAACTTGGATGGGCCACCGACAAACTTCTTCCTGGCAAGTCTCGCTGATAACTTGGGGCTGGCAGATCTGCCGTCCATTCTGACACTTGAACGGTGGATGCTGCTTTGCGCGCAAGCAGATGGACAGTTCCTGGAAAGGGGAGTGGGCGCCTCTTTTTGACATAAAACTTCCTCAATTTTCAATTTAGTCCATAATAAATTTACAATTTGTAATATATATATATATATACCATAGCATCTC